TTGGCAATGCTGTGAGGCTGGGATTTATCTCAGTTTTACAGAAGATTCCAAAGCTTGAGAGGTTATCGACTAGCAGGGACAGAGGTCCAACAGCAGGTTCATACCTGTGTCCACCTGAATCCGGAGGCTGGGAACTTTCCAATCACACTACACAGTATTTGGGATCACTCATGTGCACACAGCAGTGTGTGTACACGAATGTCCATAGTAGCATTATTCGTAATAGCCAAAAAGTGGACACAGTCCAGTTGCCCATTAACTGGTGGGTAGACACAGAAAGTGTGGTGTCATCTATACCATGGTGTTATCCAGCGGTGTGGCGCCAGCAGTGACGCGTGCTGCGGCGTGGAAGGAACTTGACAGCGTTACGCTAAGTCAAAGCAGCCAGTCACAAAAGACATGTTGTGTGATTCCACTTTTACAAAATGTTCAGAATTGGATATTTTGTGGGTTATCTCTCTGTCCACAGTTATCTTTTCTCATATGAGAAAAGACAAGGCATGAGAGATGTTTCGTAAATTCCCTTCTTGGCTTCTTACCAAAGGCCTTGTAAGTAGTAGTTGATGTGTGGACATTTCCTCTCTTCCGTCTTTGCAGGTGACACATTGGAGAGTGCCAATTGGTACTGAGTCCCGCTGGTGATCTGGTCTACTCTGGGTGGGCAGGGAAGAGCCACCTTCTTAGGAACTTATTTGGATGCCCAAAAGATTGAATTAATTTTTTAAATATCATCAGGAAAAATATTTACTCCAAAATAATTTAAAGATATAAATGTCATTAAAAAGAAATTGAAAAATATATAATGAATACATTAAAATATTTAATGATAACTAGGCATCCTTTTTAAACACTTGTAGGGTTAGCAAGGATTAGGAGGATACTTACTCAGTATGGGCTGGTGAGAGTGTGGGGCCCTGGGCCTGCTTACTCAGGAGGCCTCTGGAAGGCAATTTGGCCACATACATCACAAATGATGTGGAGGCTAGACACAGTGGCTCATGGCTGTAACCCTAGCATTATGGGAGGCTCAGGCAGGAGGATTGCTTGAGGCCAAGAGTTACCAGCCTGCACAAGGGTGAGATCCTGTATCTCAAATAAACAAGGAAAGAAAAGAAAGAAAGAAGGAAGGAACAAAGGAAGGAAGGAAGGAAGGAAAGAAGGAAGGTAGGAAGGAAGGAAGAAAGAAAGAAAAGAAAGGAAAGGAAGGAAGAAAGGAAAGAAGGAAAGAAAGAAGGAAGGAAGGAGAGAAAGAGAGAGAGAGAAGGAAAGAAGGAAAGAAGGAAGGAAGGAAGGAAGGAAGGAAGGAAGGAAGGAAGGAAGGAAGGAAGGAAAGAAAGAAAGAAAGAAAGAAAGAAAGAAAGAAAGAAAGAAAGAAAGAAAGAAAGAAAGAAAGAAAGAAAGAAAATATGGATGCTGAGACAGGAGGAGTTTCAGGTTGCTGTGAGCTATGATGATGCCACTGCCCTATAGCCCAGGTGACAGAATTAGACTCCATCTCAAAAAAAGAGGAAAGTCATTTAGAGGCTTTGCCCAAGTAATTGCAGCTCTAATATTGCACCCTGAGGAAATAATCACACAAGCGCCCAACACAAGGCAAGTAACTAAACAAATCATGACTCGGCCATACATGGAATTTTATGCAGTTATGGAAAATATTTCTGATCACTGACATGGAATAATTCCCACCACAGGGGAGGGAAATGGAGCAGATGAGAAGCCAGCGCATGTGGTGGAGTTTCAAGGAGATGGATTTACAGCTGGAAACCCATAGCTACGTATATATTACTAGAAGACGTTGGAGGGAGTGTGCACCAAGTTAGATGGTGAAATTATAGGCTTTCCTCTCACTGACCCCATCTATTTCTTAACTGTCTTATGACTTTTCTATGTACATTTATTGCTTGAGAATCAAAACTAATAAAAGCTTTGAAAATGTGTGGCAATTGCTATTGCTTGAGCCAGAAATTGGACTCCCCACCTCCCCTCCTGCACATGGGGACAGTGGCCCTGCTCTGCTCGAGCAGGAAGCCTGTACTGACCTTGGCGGGGACCTCTGCCTCCCAGCCCTGGTGCTGCTCCCAGGGCTTTGGTTTCCTGGGGGTACACGAGCATCATCCCTGTCTGGCCTGCCTTGAGTTGGGTGTCAGAAGTCACTGTCGGGGAAATTGTGCTCTGATCCGTCATATTAAAATAGCCTTCCTTAAGCTTGTTCTCTGCAAACGCCGAACTCCTAGACTATTTTGAAAAGTGCCAGCCATCACATATGTACACATGTGCCTCACACAGTCATGAATCCTTAGGGAGAGAAAGGGTAATTCATATTGTAAGCGGAATAACCAGAGCAAGCCATCCACAACCCAAATACCCAAAACGACACTGGGCAAAGCCAACCTATAGAGAATTAGAATCATATGAGAGTCTGGAAAATGTGAACTGAAAGGAGGGCCGAAGGAGTGGAAAAATCTGCTAACTGTATGCGCTTTTGTTTGATTTAAGAAAAAAAAATTGTGCTTGTTGGTGGGAACTCTGGAAGGCTGTCCCGAGGGCTGCATACCACATGCTGGGCCAGGACCAGCGTCCCGTGATCAGAAGCGGCTGGGTGGAAATCTGGGCCCAGTCTCGTCCTGGCTGGGTGACGGTGTTGAGGGAAGACTCTCCTGAGCCTCGGTTTCCACAGCTGTGTAATGGGAACTTTGCAGGGCCACTGTGCAGAGTTAATAAAGTAATAAATTAAAAGGGCCTTGGAGAATGGTATGTGGCAAATATTTATGAACACTGGTGTCACACCCCACTCTGACACCTGTCAGGGCCTGGGACTGGCCAGGTCTTGGGCCTGGCTTAAGTAGGTTCCTGACTGCTAAGCTACTTTGCTCAGGAACAATTTCTCTTTCAGAGAGAGAGAGACTTAGAGAGAGTAATGTGGCGTTAGAATAGATAGATCTTAGTCTTTAGTAGAGCGTGGTAATCTTCAGTAGGGAGACACTGTGCTGGCATTCTGCAGGCAGGAGAGGAGACAGAGTCACCCACTTGGGGATAGAATGAGCATGCCCCCGACTGCCTTCTCCTCCAGCCTAATATCAGGCTGATCTTGTGCCTCTCAACACCACAGAGGTAGAGACTACCAATTCACCAATGCTCTCATCTCTAGAGCTCTCATGCTTGTTAGGAGAGCTAAATCCTTCTCCATGCCCTTTTCACCAAGGTGTTCCATTATTGAGCTATAAAAGTATTTCTTATAATGCTCACACCTCCTAGCCATAGGCTATACAGGCTGCTACACACTGTTTTTAAATTATTATTATTGGCCACGCATGGTGACTCACAACTGTAATTCTAGCACTCTGAGAGGCCAAGGCGGGTGGATTGCTTGACCTCAGCAGTTCCAGATTGGTCCGCTCCAGCAAGAGCAAGACCCCGTCTCTACTATAAATAGAAAAATTAGCCAGTTGTAGTGGGGCACACCTGTAGTCCCAGCTACGTAGGAGGTTGAGGCAGGAGGATCACTTCGTCCAGGAGTTGGAGGCTGCAGTGAGCTATGATGACACTGTTGCATCCTGGGTATTGGAGCAAGATAGGCAAGACACAAACAAATAAACAAATTTCCACTTAGCTCTCTCACCCCCTTACCTACAGGATCAAGTCCAAGATTCCTTGTGAGGCCTCAGAATCTCTCTGAGAGCTAGCCCCTGCCTCCATCTCTAATTTTCCCTCCACTGAAGCTTTCCTTCTTGGTATTCTCAGCAGGAGAGTTGGCACTTCACAGGCCCTGATACTTGTCTGGGAGTTCATGGAACTCTGAACTGCCCCCAGGCTGTGCACTTCTCCCCTCCTCCACCTGGGCCTGGCCCTGCCTTTCTCCTCTAATTCACCTAATTCCTACTCTTTTTTTTCCAAGGCCCCGCAAGTATACACCCTCTACAGTGACGCCTCTGCTTCAGTCATCTCATAAATATCTATTGGCCACCTCTCTGGCCTGGAACCGCACAGGTCCTGGGGCTACATGGGAACGTGGGCACACATGTGGGGAGCCCACGTTCTGCTGCAGCCAGAGCCTGGGTTCCTAGGTGGCACTTACTACTACGCAGGGCTGTCCTCGTGGCGTCAGTCCCCCCAGACCACCGACGGCATCGCTTACTCATTTCCGTGCTTTGCCCTGTGACTGCAATTAATATGTTTTAAATCAGGCCCAACAAACGATTTATGCCCTTTCCCTGTGCACTTCGCGTATCCGTAACACCCGATGTTACGACTATTTCTGACCTTCCGGGTCTTACACCCTTAGGTAGCTGTATCTAAAATGAAAGGAGAATGTGCTTATTCAGAGTAAAAGTCACTGCACACTTTATAGGCTATTCATCCTGCAAGGGCTCATTCTTTGTGTGCCTCGGAGATAATCCCTTTAACAAATTGCCAAATGTGGCGCGGCGCCTGTGGCTCAAGCGGCTAAGGCGCCAGCCACATACACCTAAGGTGGCGGGTTCGAATCCCCAGCCCGG